TCAGAAGGTAATATCAAATGTTGCCCAAGGAAGTTTCACATTCAGTTCTTCTCTTTTAGAAGCAACGTAAATACAATTAAAAAGGGGGTTTGGGGCAGGCAGAAGAAATATGAAAATGCTCTTTAATATATTTCTTATCACTTTGTTAAAGAGCACAAAGATTTTTACTGTATTTTACATACTAAGCAACTGAATGAGAGTGTAAGAAAAAAGGCAGAAATCCAATTTGGTGTGTGCTAAGGGCGGGCAGCTGCATCCCAACCTTCCCCAACAGGAGTTGAGGAAAGAGCAGACCAAGGAGCCAGCGGACCGGTCCTACTATGTGCTCCATGCGAGAGCCTGGGCGACGCCAATCCATTCTCTGTGTGGGCTTCACCTGCCTCCCCTCTAAAATCGGGACACGGGGGCTCCTTCCAGCTCCGGACCCTGCGATTCTGTGGAAGGGTTCTGTCTCTCTGGGCACATTTTAAATTCACATCCTTTACTAGCGTTGGTTTTGACCCCAGACAAAAAAGAAATCAGAAGAAGAACAGTAAGAACACCAGTAACAGCCAGAACTGATGCAGAACTCTCACAATGGCTGCACTGCTGTGCAGCTGCGTCCCGCTCCTCCTCACCCCATCGCGTTTTCTTGGCAAAGATCCTGCAGCCGTTCGACATTTCTTTCCCCAGCTTGTTTTACAGATGAGGAAACAGAGGCAAACAGGGTGCAGTGACTGGCCCAGAGTTACCCACCCAGGAAGTGTCTGAGGTCAGATCTGAACTCAGGAAGATGAGTCCTCCTTCCTCCTCATTCCAGAGCTGGTACTCTATCCACCTAGCTGCTCATAGCTGTGTCGGGGAGACGCTATTATCAGACCCATAGGACAGATGAGGAAATTGAGGCAAACAGAGATTAAGTTACTTAACTGGGGTCATATGGCTAGCAAATAAAAGTCAGAGGCATGATCTGAACCCAGGTCTCCTTGACTCCAGGTTCTGTGAGGTATCCACTATTCAACTCAGCTGCCCTGCCCTTTATATCATAGAAACATTCTGTGATGGAGGGCTTAGGGGAGATTTTTCCCTCCAAAAGACTAGCTTTTGATGGGTCATTCATGGATGGATTAATTAATTTATTTGTTAATTAAACGGGCACTTCTGAAGTGCCTACTCTGTGCAGGCAAGTGCTAAGGGCTGGAGAAAGGAAGACAAAAAGAAAAGTTCCTGCCCTCAAGGAACTTCCATTCTCCTGGGGGCAGCTGTGCTGTGTGGCTAAGAATGACCAAGTGCACCCATAGGCAACCTGGGAAGCAGCAGGAGGGGAGGCCCTTGGGAGCGGGAGCCAATAGTCATTGGGCTGCCTGAGGAGAGGAGGGACAGAACCCAGGCAATCAGGTACCCGACGACAGGAACAGAGGAATGGGCACCAGGAGCACTGCGGTCAGAAGCTGCTTTGTTGACCACGAAAAGCTGGCGCTTGGGCTCAATTTAGAGCCATACGATCTAGGAGGATAAAACACTGATTGGTCTTCAAATTTTTTTTCCCATCTATAAAACCCATTTTTAAAATATTTCAGACAACTAAAATGTGCTGAAAATAAAGTTAGGCTAACACAGCTGTTTTCAAGCTGGCATTGACTCAGTCCCCATCTTTCATCTCAAAGTCATGCCTCTTTCCCACATTCAAAGACGCCCCACCCTCTCCAAATTCGCGGCCTAATGCCCATCATCCAGATGGGGTGCTCCCACGCTTTCTGTAACCCCCCTTCTTCACAATGCCCCACAAACTGTGGTTCTGAAACAAACCAAGGTTCCCAACAGCTCCCAGCAAAAAGGGCTGTTATCACAGCCATGCGGGGAGTGCCAATTAACTCTGCATCAGCATTTTTATGATGCCTCCCTCCTCCTTTTCACCATAAAATGGGCACACCTGGTCTCTGTCCAGTCACTAATTGAGCTAAATTAAAACAACCTGTACCTGCTCGTGCTCGGATGGGGCCAGTCTGTGTCGAGCTCGGCCCCTGGGTGGTGGGAAGATAGTGAGTGTGAGCAGGAGCCTGGTGGGGAGGCTGGACCCAGAGACCACCTGCCCAAGGTACGAAGCCAAAGAAAACAGGGCTGTGGAGCCAGCCGGAGGCAGGACAGCCAGGATGGATGGGCTCCTGTCTTTGGACTCCTCACCAATGGAGGCTGAGCAGCAGGAGGCCCAGGAAGCCCGAGCTGCAGAGTTTCTCACATGGCCATGGGTAGGGGGAGACAGGTGGGCTTCCTCCCTATTACTGGGGGCGCAGCCTTTGAAGGAAATGCCCCAGCCCCATGGCCACTTTTTTGCTGCTCTCTGGGTCTGGCTGACCTCTGGAGTCTCTCCACTGTGTTCCCAAGAACTCACAACATATGGCAATTCACCTGAACAGACGCCCCTGCGCTCCTCCTGGGGAGGGCAGCTGCAAGGGCCTCATTAGGTACTCTGCTCCAAGGCTGCCTGTCCCCCAAATCCCCCAGCCCCCTGCCCGAGGTGGGGCTGGGGGGCGGAGCCAGAGGCAGTAGCCAGGCCTTGCCAACTCCGACCTCTCTGTCTAGTACAGGGCTTCTTCACTTGGGCCCTGTGCACATTAAAACAACCTGATAACAAAAACTGATAAAAAATTGATAGCTTGCATTTCACTATATCTGGTTTCCTTTGCAATGGCAAATATTTTTTAAGAGATATACATTTTTTGTTTGTTTGTTTCTTTAGGGAATTGCGACTTGCCAAAGTGACTTGCCCAGGGTCACACAGCTAGTAAATGTCAAGTGTTTGGTCTGAGGCCAGATTTGAACTCAGGTCCTCCTGACTCCAGGGCTGGTGCTGTATCCACTGCGCCACCTAGCTGCCCCTGGCAAATATTTTATTCTACTCATTTAAAGACACAGTTCTGAGAAGGGGGCTGATAGTGTGCCTCAGAGAAATGGCCTGAGGGGTTGAGGATACACACACATATGCACACGCGCACACACACACATGCACACACGCAGCCTCGTGAAGCATCTGTGCATCTATTCTGTGCTGCCAATCTCATAGAACACACACCTAGAAGGGACCGCAGGGTTCACGTAGCCCCACCCCCTCACGTACAGTGACTTGTCCAAGGTCACAGTGAGAGGGAGGATTGGAACCTGCCTCCTCTGACTCCAAACCAGTGTTCTTCCCACTGCACCACACATCCCAGGACTGCGTGAGGTCTCCACACGCAGGAACCTCAACAGCTCAGTCAATAGGAAGCGACATGGGCAGGGTCACAGGATGATGGCTGTGTCTGAGGAAGAGCCAAGGCCTGGGGCCGCATGGACAACATGGTGCAGTTACAAAAATGGCCGCTCCTGAAAGTCCTCGGCTTCCCCAGAGGCAAGACTCTGAGATGGAGCAGCCCAGGCAGTGATTCCAGGCCAAGCTCCCCATTGCTCTTTCCTCTCACTGCTCAAGGACGCTGCCGGTCAAATGGACACCATTTGGAAGAGGTCAAAGTCAAGAGGAAAAATGAGTGATACAGCCCAGGCAGAACTGGAGGGCCAACGATCCCTGGTTATACGGAGCCCAAAGATTTTAAGTCAGACATTTTCCTCCAGAACAGCCTTCTGAGGCAGACAGGGCAAGAATGATCATCTCCATTTTGCAGATGGGGAAGTGGAGGTTCAAAGAGGAAAGCTCTTTCTGCACAGCCAGCTGGAAACTGAATCCCTGTCTTTGGACTCCAGGCAGACTCCTCTCTCACTACTACTCTACAGTGAGGTGAGGCAGAGGGAGTCGGGGACAGTACTACCGAGGGACACGCCCAGGACTGGCTGGGGAGGCCTCCAGTGTCATCCCTTCTTCTACATACCATTGTCCCAAGTCCTTTCAGGAGGTCACAGCTGGTTTAGCTTTCATATTGACCCTGCGGATCTGGCTAGGGGCAATGGTTTGGGCCCGCTGGGGAAACATGTGCTGAGGCAGTTTTGCAGATTCATGGCTCCCTTGCCTGGCAGTGACATGCTCCAGCACTTACGTTCAGCCCCCACTTCCAGTAGGTTTAAACAACGGCTTCACAAGCCAGGCCAACAATGAAACCCGCCCTTGTGACAAGGAGCAAATCCTGATGTCTCCACTGCCTTTTCAAGCTTTATTTCCTAAAAGTTGCAGAAGCAATCTGACCACCACAGAAAAAGAGTGATTGAGGAAATTTCATTTCTAAATTCAACAAAGCTCTACTTTCCTTCAATCCAAAGCATTAGGAAAAAGTGGTTTCTAAGGGAGATTTCCAAGCTAGTGTGTATGTGTTGTAAATTACTAGCACTTGTGAAAATGATAATTATGCAAAAGTCAGTCTCTCTCATATTTTCTCAAACTATTTCTATTGCCACAAGTAACTTTTATAGTGAACAGATCTTGACAAAGTTTTTTAAAGGAAAAATAACAGTGGAAAAATGCTTTTAGGTTGACATAGCCTCTAAGTACCTTAGCATATTGTATTTAGGTAATAGCTTCTCCATTCATCAATTTAGAAACTTTTAATATACTGTCTGTGGCAACTTAGAGAGAGACAATTTAATGGATGCTGAAAAAACACAACCCGGTTATCTAATGGAATGTGACCATGACCTAGCATGCTTCTGGTAGGGGCCGACAGCCCCATTACACGCCTCACTCCCTGTGCCATCGGCCAAAAGACAGTTTACGCAAACAATCAGATTATTGAAAAATCCACTGCCATTCAGATGTGTTCCTGTTGGAGCCCTGAAGCTGGCGAATGCCAAGGGTTGAACTGCATCATTCGTACAGCCCGGCCAAGAATGAGGCAAGTGTGAGCCCAAACCGGCACGCCCATGGGGAGCAGGTGGGGGGGATGGAGCCCTGAGCAGGGCGCTAATGGCACGGGAGAAGAAAAAGGAAGGCTGAGCTGGTCGGGGCCAACACAGAGGAGGGGCATGGGATCAACCATGAGGGCTCCTTGAGGGCACATGTCACATGGGAAGCACCCTGGGACTCCCAGGGGACCTACCTCGCTGGAAGATGGGATGATGGAAGGCGGGCAGAGGGAGATCTTTCACGGTCTCCGGAGCGTGGAAATAGGCCGCTAGCCAGGCTGCACACTTGTCTAATGCCGCCGGCGTTTCCTCGGGGCCCTCGAGCTCTTCCCCAGAAAAGGAGGCCTGGTGGCTGCCGCCGCTGCTACAAAGAGAATACAGTTCCTTTATAGCAGTAACCCAGTGCAGAAATAAACAGCAAAGAGGCACCAGGGCCAAAGGAAGCAGGCTCGCCCTCCCTCCCCCGGCCTCACTCTGACAGTGACGGCGAGCAGCACGGGTGCTGCTCAGCAAGGACAATTACAGGGAACACACGCTTCTCTCTCTGTGCACGTACGTGCATGCGTAAGTACACATATATTTGTGTGTCTGTGTGTACAGATGTGTGTGTACGTGTGTATCTGTGTATGTGCATATATGTTTGTATGTATGTGTGTGTACAGATGTGTGCTGTGTGCATATGTATCTATGTATGTCTTTGTGTGTCTGTATGTGTGTATAGATGTGTGCGTACGTGTGAATCTGTGTGTCTATTTAACACATGTGTAGCTTCAGGTAAGTCACATGCCATGGATGACCCCATGGCCAGCCCCCTGCTTACAGCCTCTCGCCTGCAGTCAGCCCCTTCCTTTTCAGGAACGGGCCGCTTTCCCTAAGATGGTACCACAATTTGCCTCCTTGCAACGTCCACCCAGCCACTCCAGATACCGTGCCAAGTGTCATGAGTAGCAAGAGTTCATCTTTCTCTAGGGCTTCAAGATTCCCAGCAGCTCTGTGGCAAAGGTATGGTGCTATTCATGCCCATTTTGCAGACGAGGAAGCTGAGGCACAGGGCCCTCAAGTGACTCACTCAAGCTCACCTAGAAAGCCATCGCCCTCTTCTCTGGGAATTGAATCCAAGTCTAGTGACTCAGAGCATCTCAGAGGAGAAAGGGACCCCAACGTGGAGTCAATGCAAGCCTCGGTTCTCATCACTTGAATGCCCTTTTTCTACTATCTCTCTGTCCTCTCCGCCTCTGGGCCTGTCTCTCCCTGGCCCCCCGCATCATCAGAGGCAACGTCCCGATGGATGAGACCCCAGCTCAGGTGCAGCTGGGTCACAGCAGCCTGTCTGTCCCCAGCGGCCCGCGCATGATCTCCAGCGTGCTCGGTCCCTCCGCGACCTGTCCAGGTACACACGGCTGCTTTGTGTCCAGGACCCTGGGTTTCCTGCCTCGAGGAAGACCCTCTCACTAAGGAGACCAGAGACCCTGGAGAGATTTCAGGGTCTATGAACTAACCTTCAGTTTCCTGAATCATCCTACACTTGGTATTCTGTGCATTTAAAACCCTCGCTCTGAGAAGGGGCCCAGAAAGCTTCACCGGACTGCCAGAGGGGGCCAACGGTCAGGGTCAATCAGTCAGTCAATAAGCATTAAGGGCCTCCTACGTGCCAGGCACTGTGGTAAGACCCAAAGGCCAGGGCGGAGCCAAGATGGTGGCGTGAAAGCAGTGACTTGCTTGAGCTCTCCCCAAACCCCTCCAAATACCCATAAAAAATGGCTCTAAACAAATTCTAAAGCAGCAGAACCCACAAAAAGACAGAGTGAAACACATTTCCAGCCCAAGACAGCCTGGATGGTTGCTCAGAAAGGCATATCACGCCGGGTGCGGAGAGGAGCGCAGTTCGGCGTGGGCGCACAGGCCGCAGAGAACCTGGAGCAGGCCTCAGAGGAATGAATCACAGGCAGCTGTGGCGGCTTCCAGACTCCTCAATCCACGAATGCCGAAGACAACTTAGAAGGTCAGTAGGAATAGTCTGTTTCTGCGCTGCTAAGAGAGGAGCTAGGTCAGAGCCAGTTCCAGAGCACAGAGCGCTGGAGCCGGGATGGCTGCATCCTGAGCTTCTGGCCCACAGACTGAGGGGGAATCAAATGGCTGAGTAGAGGGGGACTGCAGGGATCTCTCTGCTGGTGCTGAGGCAGGAATCTCTTGCTTTGCCCGTGCCTGGATCTGGGTCACAGCTCTGGGTGGCGGTCCTGGGGTGAGAAGCGCTGGTGGGGTGGAGCTTGTAGTGGCTGTGGAGAGGAACCCCTTCTCACAGTTATGGGACAGAAAGGAATACTTGTGGTCACAGGCCAGGAAAGGAGTAAACACCTTGCCCCTTATCATACCACCTTGGAAGAACTGAAAATTTACAGGTCCCTACAAGTATCTCTGAAAACAGCTGGACAAACCCCTGAAGCTTGGGACAGTACATTCTCCACACTGGAAGCAGACTCTTACCTTAACAAAGAGTTTAAAACTCAAGTAGTTGGCTGGGATCATGAGCAAACCTCGTAAAAAGAGTCAGACTATATTATCTTACTTTGGTGACAAAGAAGATCAAAATATACAACAAGAAGAAGACAGCAAAGTCAAAACTCCTACATGCAAAGCCTCCAAGAAAAATATGACTCTGTCCCAGGCCCTGGAAGAGCTCAAAAGGGATTTTAAGAAGTAAGTAAGAGGAGAGGAAAAACTGGGAAGAGAAATGAGAGTGATTGAAGAAAATCATGAAAAACAAGTCAACAGCTTGCTAAAGGAGACCCAAAAAAATACTAAAGAAAATAACACCTTAAAAAATAGCCTAACCCAAATGGCAAAAGAGGTCCAAAAAGCCAATGAGGAGAAGAATGCCCTAAAAAGAAAAATTGGCCAAATGGTAAAGGAAGTCCAAAAGATTACTGAAGAAAATGCTTCCTTAAAAATTAGAATACAGCAATTGGAAGATAGTGACTTTATGAGAAATCACGACACAGTAGAACAAATCCAAAAGAATGAAAAATTAGAAAACAATGTGAAATATCTCATTGGAAAAACAACTGACCTGGAAAATAGATCCAGGAGAGAGAATTTAAAAATTATTGGACTATCTGAAAGCCATGATCAAAAAAAGAGCCTAGACATCATCTTTCAAGAAATTATCAAGGAAAACTGCCCTGAATTTTAGAACCAGAGGGCAAAATAGAAATTGAAAGAATCCACCAATCCCCCTGAAAGAGATCCCCAAAGGAAAACTCCTAGGAATATTGTAGCCAAATTCCAGAGTTCCCAGGTCAAGGAGAAAATATTGCAAGCAGCCAGAAAGAAACAATTCAAGTATGTGGAAACACAATCAGGATAACACAAGATTTAGCAGCTTCTACATTAAGGACGAGGGCATGGAATATAATATTCTGGAGGGCAAAGGAGATAGGATTACAACCAAGAATCACCTACCCAGCAAAACTGAGTATAATCCTTCAGGGGAAAAAATGGTCATTCAGTGAAATAGAGGACTTTCAAGCATTCTTGATGAAAAGACCAGAGCTGAATAGAAAATTTGACTTTCAAATACAAGACTCAAGTGGAACATGAAGAGGTAAACAGGAAAGAGAAATCATAAGAGACTTATTAAGGCTGAACTGTTTACATTCCTGCATGGAAAGATGATATTTATAACTCATGAGACCTTTGTCAGTATTAGGGTAGTGGAGAAAAAATTATATGTATGTATGTATAGATAGATAGATAGATAGATAGATAGATAGATAGATAGATAGATAGATAGATAGAGGGCACAGGGTGAGTTGAAGATGAAGGGGTGATATCTGGAGAATAAAATTAAGGGGTGAGAGAAGATTATACTAGGAGAAGGAGAAAGGGAGAGGTAGAATGGGACACATTATCTTGCACAAAACAGACAAGAAAAGGTTCTTACAGTGGAGAGGAAACAAGGGAAGGTGAGAGGAAATGAGGGATCTTATTCTCATAGGATTTGGCTTAAGGAGGGAATAACATACACATTCAATTCTGTCTTACCCTACAGGAAAATAGGGGAGGAAGGGGACGAGAGCAGGGAGATGATAGAGAGGAGGGCAGATTGGGAAAGGGGTTATCAGAAGGAAGCACTTGTGAGGAGGGACATGGTCAAAAGAAAGAATAGGATAAATGGGGGGGGCAGGATAGGATTAAGGGAAATAGAGTTAGTTTTTCACAACATGTCTACTATGGAAGTCTTTTGCATAACTGCACATGTATGGCCTGTATTGTCTTGCTTGCCTTTTCAATGAGGGTGGGTGGGGAGGGAGGAAGGGAGAAAATTTGGAACCCAAAGTTTTAAAAACACATGTTTAAAAAAAAAAATGTTTCCACTGCAACTGAGAAATAAGAAATACAGGAAATGAGGTACAGAAATCTATCCTGCCCTACAGGAAAATAGAAGGGGAAGGGGATAAAAGAAGGGGGTGGGGAGAGATAGAAGGGAGGGCAGACTAGGGGAAGGGGTATTCAGCATGCATGCCATCTTGGGGTGGGGGGAGGGGCAAGATGGGGTGAAAAGATGGAATTCAAAATCTTGTGGAGGAAAATGTTGAAAACTAAAAATAAATAAATTTATATTAAAAAAAAAAGGAGACCCAAAGACCAAGGACCCCTGCTCTAGACGGAGGCAGTGCACAGAGGGCAAGGCGGGTCCCTGGACCGAGGCTCTGCTGCTTTCTAGCTATGGGGTCCTTGGGGAAGTGCCTTCTCTCTCCTGGCCCCAGCCTCCCTCTCTGTAGAAGTCTTTCCAACAGTCTTTCACTGCTAGCATCTATAAATGCATCCCTGACCTTCTTTCTCAGGAGGTCAAGGCCCAGCCTCCACCTTCCTGCGAGGTGTGGCCATCAACTCCAACCTGAACTGTCCTCCAACCTGGCTCCTCGCCTCACTTTTCTGTCAAACCCTTGACTTTCCATAGCCAACCAATGACTGAGTCTAGCTCTATCTCTCGTCCCTCCTATTCACTTCCCACTGCCATGACCCAAGTTCAGGCTCTTATCGCCCCATGCTTGAGGAACTGCAATAGTTTTAACGGCTGTCGCCTCCCTGTCCCAACCATTCTGTACAACTCCTCTCCCCCAGTAGGAGTTCTCTCTCATTCTGTTACTCTACTGCTCAAAAACCTTCCCATGGCTCCAACGACCTATAAGATAAAGTCCAAAATTTTCCCGCCTGGTGTTCAAAGCTCTCTGCAACGTGGTACCAATCTACCTTGCAAAGCATCTTCCATCATTCCCCAGTACATCCTCTTCTCGATCCAGGCTGATCTGGTCAGTGCCTCTGAGTCAGTTTTCACAAGATATTCCCCAGCACCTTCTC